TTTCGTTGAACTTAGCAATGGTGATTTGTCTAAATTACTATGTTTGTTGAAAAACTTTATTATTTTATCACCTATCTTATTAGAGATATTACCCTCTACTATCAACTCCAAAAAGTCACGATATGCATCATTCGGCCATTTTACTACGTGCTCTGGTGTGGGGTTTCCATCAACTACATCTATGGCATTATCTAATGACGCACCTTGAAGGTCTTCAGAATCAATGAATTCAGTATCTTCAAAGTTTACTAATTCTGATTCTGCTTCCGATTCTTCAAAATTTGCTTCGACCCTCTCTTCTAACTGTAACCTTTTTCGCAAATGATAATGTGGTTCATCTTCTAACTCATTTGCAATATTTACTAAGTCTTCATCTTGAGATGAAGGTTCAAATTGCTTCATCTCATCATCATCATCCTGTGATGTAAGCTTTTCTTGCGAAGTAGTTGGGTTTGGCATAATAATTGACGTGCTCCAAAGTTCTGCATCATGTTCTGATCTTATCATTTTTCTTAATGGCTGCAACAAAGATTTTTGCTGTACTGGTGACTCATTTAGTTGGAAGGATCTCATTTTCCTGTGATGTTTAGCATTGGCATGTTGTTTTAAACCGCCGTAAGTTGAAAATTCTCTTTTACAAATTTGGCATTGATATCTAACCATTTTTATTTGAAGAACAATTTATGAGGATTTATTTGCAGTATAGTAAATATTTGTTTTTATTTGTTCTTTGCTAATTTTAAGCAAATTTTAGTGATTTTATTAATGATTATTTTAATTAATGCGAAATTATGAATTTTGTGAATTTGCGAATTTTAATGAAGAATTTGATATTTCTTTCGTTTGTGTGAATTCTCAATTTTTTTTTTTGATTTTTTTACATTTTTGGCGCAAGGGTTCAATCATTTTAATTTACAGATTTTTAATCATTCTATTTTTAAATTTTAATCATTTTAATTTGCAGATTTCTTAATTATTTTATTTTATTTTAATCATTTTAATTTGTAGATTTTTAACTATTTCTATTTTTAAATTTTAATCATTTTAATTTACAGATTTTTAACTATTTCTATTTTTAAATTTTAATCATTTTAATTTACAGATTTTTAATTATTTCTATTTTTAAATTTTAATTATTTTAATTTACAGATTTTTAACTATTTCTATTTTTAAATTTTAATCATTTTAATTTACAGATTTTAATCATTTTAATTAATATTTTTACTGATAATTAAATTATTTAATTTATAGATTTTGGATTTTTTTATCGATTTCAGTAATCAATTTTTTATTTAAATTGTTTTGTAAATTTCAAGTATATTTTTTCCTATACAATTTTCTAAATTAGTTGTTAATAATGTCAACGAAAAATACTAAGAAAAAAACTGGAAAAAATGCAAAGAAAAAAATGAAAGTTTCCCATAATAGTCTGGAAAAAAAAGATGAAGCTTCTCAAAAAACTGGAAATATATTATCTCAAATTTTATCAGGTACAGTCCGTCAAGGAATTGCATTTCTTACATTAATTTAATATTATAATTAATCTTCGCTTGTTCAATCGACACCAACAGCTGATGATGTATCATTACAAGATACAGGAAATGTTGATGATAATGCTTCAGCTTCAATATCTTATATTGAAACTTGTACTGGCCCTGATTACGATAATATTTTAACTTCAACACCCCATACCGAAGGACCGTTCGTGTTGGTTGTTCCAGATGAAATTTTCAAGTCTTCAACATCCAATAATCCTACAAAAAGTATCAAAAGTGGCAAGCCAAAAAAAAATCAGGGTAGATCATTAACGCCCATTGTTGGTAATAATTCAACAAGAAATCTTGAAAATTCTCCAACTAAACCCGATGATGATTCAAACCAAAGAACTTCCACACCTATCAGAGCACCCACACCTATCAGAGCTTCTACACCTATCACACCTATGCAAATTGATGACGAATATTGTAACTTCGAAAAACGTGACGAATGTTACCTTACAATTGAGAAATTCAACTATACTATGAAATTATTAGACGAAAAAATCACTTCAATATATCGATTATGCTGACGTATTAGTGAGCAACAACAATTAGATTCTCAAATGATACAGAGACTTGTGGTGGTCGATGAGCTTTCAGATGAATTTTGGAACGTACGTTACTTTAATAGATTTAGCAACTTTATTTGATCTCAAGATATTTAAAAATAACTGATTGTCTTTACAGCGCGCATATAAAAAGGTGTCCAAAGAACTTATTCCGAAGATCCTATTTTCTTCAGATACGGAGTACCGTAAAGCTTTAGAGAAATACCTCGCTGAACATGCCAGTCATTATATTGAAAATCTTGGAAGAAATACGTGGATTTCTCTATTCGAATCAAAGTTATTACCAGAAGTACGTGAAATCATTAATAATAATCAATAATAATAATAATAATAGTAATCTGAAATTATTTGATTATTAAGATAAAAAACAAATGCCGAAGCAAGCAAAATGATTTAGCGGCAAATATTCGAAATACTATGTTTTCTAACTTCGGTGAGCAGAAGTTAGAACGTGTGGATAGCAGTGCGTCCTCTAAAAAGATTGCCGAATGGAAAAAAAGTGCAAAAACGCGAGAAGCATATTGAGAACTTTTCGAAAATCAAGGTATTTTCACGAAAATAACCTCTTCTGTTTTCAAATCATACGAAGGCAGTGAGCTTCTTCCAAAACACCGGGTTTATGTACTCACCATCTGCGATATTGTCTTAAATCCCAGTAGCCCTGGGATTAAATGCAACAACAAGTTAGTTTTAAAGAGAGTTAATTTCTTATGGTAATAATAACGTTCATCAGTACTTTGAAGTTAAAAATTTTTAAATATTTCGCAAATATTAATGTCAATCAAAAATAAAGTTACTGTAACTCCGCGTTTGTTTCAGGAGTTAGCTGAGAAATAAAATTCAGAACAAAGTCCAGAGATTTCATCTATGATCGAAGAATCGAGCGATGCTGATGATGGTAATAGTAGTAGTTACGAAGAATTAGTAAGTCAAAGTTATTATCTGGTATATAAGTATTTTTACACCGCGTTAATTTATTTTGCTAATCTAAATCAAAAAAATTTACAGCTCAAGAGTTTAGATTCGAAATTCTCTTAATATTCGTCAAATTTCTTTGTATTACATTAATTTTCAGAATTCGGAAATTTGTATTTGAAATTCTTCAATTTTTTTTGAATATATTTTATTAAATAAATTACATATTAAATAAATTACTATATATAAAATTATTTGTAATAATTGTGATGATCAGTAAAATTAAATATATTTGAATTATTTTGAATATTTATTTTTTAAAAATCTTCGCAGAATTTCGTTATTTGTTTTTTTTATAATCTTCGCAGAATTTCATTATTTATTTTTTAAAAATTTTCGCAGAATTTTGTTTCTTGAAATTCTGCGCAGTTTTTGATGAATTTTTTTTTCCAAAAACTGCCAACAGAGTCACAGATCTGCGCAAAAATGTCACCTGCAGATCTGCGCAGATCTGCACCCCAAAAAATTTCCCAATGTTATTTTCACGTGTTAGTGCATAACGCTGTAATGCGGGCCAAATGTGACATTTTTCTACGGTGATACTGGGAAAGTTAAATTAACGAAACTGCGCCACAATAAGTAAATTCAATTTTTATTCAAGATTCGATTTAAAATTGATTCTTATCGATTTTTGATAGTTTCGATTTTAATCAAATCTTTTCCGATTCCTATTCTAGAGGTACTAAGGTTGCCTGCCGAAACTAAAAAGGAAATTCCGAAAGGTTTCGGCCAATCAAATCAAATGCCGAAAATGCCGAAATTAGGCCAAAACTCGGTCTTAATTTTGGCCAAAATTAAAATTCGGCCGAAATTATGATATTGTGTCCCGTGACGTTACACAAACTTCCAAAAAAGGAAATTTTGTTTCCCAGTAAAATCGGAGAAATGTGTCGCACAAATGTTACACAAATTTCCATAAAAGGAAATTTACATGTCGATCATTATTCCGGCCTGAATTATAGTATTAATGTTGGCCAATAATTTCGGCCAAATTTCGGCCTTTCGGTAAAAGTTTCGGCATTGTATAATTTCGGCAAATTTACTTTTAATTGCCTAAACTTTCGGTTTTAAAAAAGTTTCGGCCTTGGCCTAAACTACTTGATTTCGGCAAGAAACCTTAAGAGGTACTGAAGCTTTATATTGGCTAGCAATATCTATAATATTCAGACAGTATTTATACAGCTTTCTATTTACAGTATTATAAGGCATATATATATAAAATATCCGCTTGATGATACATATAGAGTTCCGAACAGATTGACCAAATTCAGGTAACCTGACAGGTTGACCTGAATTTATCAGGTCAGATTTAGCAATTGCAATTCAGTATCAGTTCAGATTGTAACATAAATATAACCTAACTGACCTGTTGACCTGAAACTATAATTTTATATAAGTGGGTTATGGTATTATAATTCACTTTTCATATTGATTTATATAATAAAAGTGAATTGCAATATCAGTATTCACTTTTTTATATTGATTTTATATTTAAAAAGTGAATTGCGGTATCAGAATTCACTTTTTTATATTGATTTTATATATAAAAAGTGAATTGCAGTATTGGAATTCACTTTTTATATTGATTTTATATAAAAAAAAGTTAGTTGCAATATTGCGATTCATCTTTTTATACGATTTTAGTATAAAAAAGTGAATCGCAATATTTCAAAAAAAAAATGTTTTGCACCATTTTTTTTTGATATTTTAATAAAAATTCCAAAAATTTTCAGGTTTCAGTTCAGGTCAGGTCAAACAGATAATCTGATATGACCTGACCTGACCTGATCTAACTAGTGTTCCGAACAGATCGAATCAGATCGGATTTGAGATGAATCCGATCTGATCTGAATTCGGATCAAAAAAAGTTGGATTTAATCTGATCTGAATTCGGATCAAAAATAATTGGATCTGATCTGATCCGAATTCGAAATGAGCTTGATTCGATTCGGTCTAAATCCAATTCAGATAAAACTGATCTGGTCCAAATCCGATCTGAATCAGAAGTTAAAAAACATTGCGAAACATTTTTTATTTCAATTTAAATGAAAAAAAACTGTTGCAAAACGGTTTTTTAAAATATTTTAATATAAACTGTTGCGAAACGGTTTATTTAACTAAAAAAAACCGTTTCGCAATGGTTTTTTAAATCATTTTAATATAAACCGTTGCAAAACGGTTTATTTAACTAAAAAGAACTGTTTCGCAACGGTTTTTTTAAATTGGTTTAGTATAAACTATTGCGAAATGGTTTATTTAACTAAAAAGAACCATTTCGTAACGGTTTATTAATTATTTTAATATAAACCGTTGCAAAACAGTTTATTTAATTAAAAAGAACTATTTCGCAACAGTTTTTTAAAATATTTTAATATAAACCGTTGCGAAACAGGTTTTTTAACGATTTTAATATAAACTGTTACAAAATGGTTTATTTAACTAAAAAAACCATTTTGCAACGATTTTTTTAACAATTTTAATATAAACCATTGCGAAACGGTTTATTTAACTAAAAAAAACTGTTGCGCAATGGTTTTTTAAATTGTTTTAATATAAACCGTTGCGAAACGGTTTATTTAACTAAAAATAACCGTTTTGCAACGGTTTTTTATTGTCTTAATAAAAAACGTTGCGCAAAACGTTTTTTATTTTCTAAGATTCAGATCCGATCTGAATCCGATCCGAATCCATTCGAATATGATTCGATCTGATCTGATTTGAATGAATAACTGATCCGATCTGATTCGATCCGAAATGGATCAAATTTTTTGATTCGGATCAGATCACGGATCATAAAAAAGCTGATCTGATCTAATCTGATTTGTTTCGGATCAGATCCGCGGATATGAATCAGATCAGATTTTTTTCGGAACACTAGATCTGACCCATTCAGAACTCTAGATACATATTTGGTCAAGTAATCTTATTAAAAGAAACCTGTAGAACATATTTGGGTACAGATGAGTGTATTTGCCATATAGCCTGTTTATACAACTACTCCATAATATCAGATATGTTAAAATCATGGTCCTCAGCTTGCACTTTAGCCCAAAGTTTTTCAGGAGTACGATAATATCCACATGGATGGTAATAGATTTGTTAAAGAATATAATTTTGTTCGATTTGTTTATTAAATGTGGGGTCTATAAAAATCTGTGGATCTGTCAAGAAGAGACATCATTAAAGACACAGATTACAAAGCTTGCGCATACATTGCAATCACAAGAACAACATATGGGCTAATTTGTTTACTCTCATTAAAAAGAGTTATTAAATTGATTTTCATAATTTTCGTTACTCAAAATTGTTTTGTAATACCAAAAAATCATCTGATTGATGATCACTTGACTAAATAATAAGTTGAACAAAAATTTACATTTGCGAAACTTAAATTATTAAATGTAAAAGAGCTGTGAAAAAACCCATTTCACTAATAAAAAACCCATTTCTCATATATATGGAATTTTTAACATATATTATTAAAAAGTAAGTATATTTTAATAAAATATAAAGTAAAATAAAAATTTATATAGTCTTAGTAGCTATAAATGTTTATAAAAATATAATAAAAATATCATATAAAAGATGGTATCATAATAGATATTTTCAAACAATAAAATAATTATTTTATGTCATAGTTTATATTACCATCTTTAAATGCAAATATATCAAGATTCACTGATCTGTTTTCTATAATTTTAAGCTCGTTGGAAATCCCTTGTTCTGGACTTTATAGGCAATAAAAGAACTCGCCGATTGAATCATTAGATCCGGAGATATTTACATTTAAAGTTGAGGTACGAACTTTTTAACATGCTTAAATGCAAATATCTTGGGATTCACTGATCCAATTTTTATAAATTTAGGCTCTTTGGAAAGCCCTTGATCTGGTCTATATGAACGAAAAAAGAGCTTGTCAATTGGATTACTGGATCTGGAGATATTTACGTTTTAAGTTGAGATACAAAGTTTTAACATATATAGTAAGTGCTAAAAATTATATTAATTTAAAAGAAATATTTACCAAATTATAGTATAATAACATTAAATAAAAATTTTTTAATAATAATAACCAATTTACTGTATATTATATAGTATTTTGTATAATAAAAATGTAATAAAATTAATATTTTAATTAAAGGTAGACAAACCAGCCCATATGATATATAAAATACCTGTATGGTATAATCGAGAGTCATGAATCTGAGATAGAAGAACTTAGGCAAAAAAATGCTGAGTTGCGTGTGAAGCTTAAAAAAGCTTTAGAAATAACATCACTAAAGGAGGAAGAGCTTCAAGCATTAGAATGTCAGCTGATTGAAATTGATACTCTAAATATTCAACTCAAAGATCGAATAAAAGAACTTGCTAATAGACAACAGAAAAACATAGATTCTCTTATTACAAAGCCACAACAGAGAATAGCTTGTTCTATGATTACTATTTTTTCAAAGCTGGTATATTTTTTATCGTGAGCTTTTTTATGTTTTTTATAAGCTTTATCGAGGTTTTTACCATCATCTGCAAACTCTTGCCAGTAATCCCTTTCAGCTTTCTTATCTTCATCTACCACTCTGCCATATATTTGTTTAACTTTCTCATGTCGCTTTCACAACTCGTCTCTACACCAAGTATACCAAGTGCAGTTAAACAATAGATGCTTACCAAATTTATCGATTGGATAGACCGCAATAAAGATATCTACAATCTTAAGGATACTGAATGGGCTTTGCTTCCTACATTGCTCTAGAAGTATCCTCCTGTTGATGGCTATAAGATCTTATGCAGCCGAAGATTGTTGCTAACTTTTTTGCTGTATATGCCATATCAAGTACTGTTTATCTGTATAGATACTTAGTACCTACCTTTTATTCAATTACATTTTTTCTTTGTATAAGGGTAATTACTTACCTTGTTATTTCACTCTATTGACTCCATGGCTAGTTTTCTGAATGGGTTAATACTTCCTTACTTTTTTCGGCTCTGTTGGCTTTGAAATTCTATTTCTTATTCAGTTAGGAATAAGTAGGTGAAAATATAAGTAGGATGAAAAATAAGTAGATGAAATAGATGATATAAGGAAATAAGTAGGTGAAATAGGTGGTATAAGTAGGTAAAAATGGTAATATAAGTAGGTGAAAATATAAATAGGTGATTTAGATTATGAAATAAGTAGGTGAGTCAGAACTGGCATTTTCATATTACTAACAATACCTTTTAGAATAACTTCACTTCCTGAAAGTTGTTTACTCTTAAAAATACATATTGGTGGATATTTTGTTCCATTTATAAATAAATATAATGAATTTATTAATTTGATATATAAAATAATTAAAGTAAATATAAAAAAATAAAAAAAATAAAACTTCTTACCTGCAGAACAAATTAGAACTACGGTAAAATGATTTTTATCATTTTCAGGAGGAATCTTACCACACTACCCTGTAATGATTTTATTATATGGTCACGTGCTGATGATATGTTTATGTTTTTTATTATATTTTTGAGGGACTTAAGTTTTTTTTACTAGCCTGATTTCTATTTGTCACTGCATTATATGTTACCTGTACTATCACATTTAAAGTATTACTTATATTATGACAGGATAGTGTAATAAGATTCCTCCATTTTCAGTAATACGAATATGCATTGTTTTATCACTCTTATTGTTAACAGTTATATTTCCTGCCATGTTGAATTACACAGAAGTTTTATTCATATTAAAAATACTATTCAAATCAAAATTATATAGTGTTCTCAGTCTTATAATATATCATCTAAATTCATTTAATTTTTCTTCTAAATTCTCAGGCAATTTTTGAGAAATTTTGGCTCTTCTCCTTAATAACAATCCAAATCATTTTATAAAAGAATTAATCCAAGAAAGATTTTCTTAGAATTTATATTCTCCTGCTAGATATAATACTTAAATTGAAGATTCTTTAAGAATTTTACATATTTGTAATCTTATAAAGATATAATTAACAGAAAACCCTTTTTTCCGTTGTTCTATTATCCAACTGTATAAAATCTTTTCTGCTTCAGAATAAAAGGCTTTTCTTTCTGAAGTTCCAGAATATTTTTTCTTTTTATTTTCTTATATTTAAATTAAAATACTTTGCTGCAGTATTTCTTCCATTTTCTTGGGCATACTTAACTACTATTAATTTTTCTTCAAGTGAATATAATGTATGTTGTCTTACATCCACTTTTTTATGCATTATTTCTACTAGAAATATTATTAAAATGTGTGAAGAATTTTTGAAAGAAATAGGGGTAAGATGTATATCATCAATTAAAAAAATTAATAGTAAAATCAAAATTAAGCACCATTACCAATTTTGTCTATCACATGACTGCAAAAAGGGGGTGCTTAAATTTGAGATTTTATGGTACTACTATTGTATTGTATAAGCATTAATTTTTCAATAATATATTTTTTTTAAATATATGGAATTTATCAGTTATATGAAAATTAATATTTAATATAAAAATTTAAAAACTCTAATTATTTTTAATATTAATAATTTTTAATATGATTAAACAATTTTGTGCAAGGCATATAATAAAACAAAAAACTGGGACCTCAGTCTCCCAGACATCACTGATTGTTATCCCCTAATGAATTTTTTATTTGCTACTATATTTTTCATTTTTCTTCTATTTTTTATCATGGTTAATTATCAGCAAATTATCAGTTAATTTTAGAAATCTGATAGTCCATTTTAATTCTGTATTTATATTGCTGAAATTACTGAAAGAATCTGGATTGCTATTCAACCAGTTACTATTCCGAAAAAATTCACTGATTATTTATGGAACCCAAACAAAATCATGGAGTTATAATGGAAAAATTCTGGAAAATTATTTTTTATAGGCTTATTGAAGATATTTGTGAAAAGTGTTTACAAAAGAAGAGTTGCAAAATGAAAATAACATTAAATTTGGTATTACAGTTGCATGGATGTTATTAGATCCATTATATAATCAGGTTGAAATATTATTATCAAAAGTACAGGAACAGATAGATAAATGGGATACTGATTCTATTATACAAAAATGGGTATGTAAAGTATATTTTGTTTCATATATTTATTTTTTTCCTTATTTTAATCAAAATTTAAATTCTAACTTAATAAAAAAAATAACAATAATGAAAATAGTAGTGAATATAATAGTAAATTAGACAAAAATGAAATTTCGCAAGCTGAATAATAAAATTTGGAAAATGCGAAAAAGCTGGCATAATACTATTTAGAAAATTTACTATGATATATGATATAATAATATTATTGTAAAGCCGTAAATGAAAATAATAAAATTGCCTTCACAGATTCATGTGATTTTACGCTGATCTGAAACAATGCACAGTTTCACGTGCACTTAATTTTCTGTCAGCATTTTGATCTCGTCATCTTTAATATTTCCAATATTATCTTTTTCATTACTTTGATCCTTATCACATTCAATATCTTGATTTTCATTGTTACTTTCTTCTGACATTTCTTTTCCAAATCTCCTTTCAAAATTTTTATAAACTGTATCTATTAAGAATTTCTGTATTTCCTTATATTATACATCTTCAAAATTCTAGTGTAACCTAAATATATTTATTTTATTTCCAGAATATGGGAGAGACTATGTTAAAAGTTTTTCGTTAGATCAATCTATCACAATGTATTCGTGTATATTAATATCAGGATTCATATCCAAAGGTATTTCTTTGGGATACTAGTAATGAGAAAGAATCTGTATTTTTACAAATTGATTACGGGACTCAACTACATAATATTTTTTTAGTAATCGAAAACGAGGAGAGATAATATTAAAATGGAAACGGATATTGTGATCACATTGGGCATGTATCAGTTTGATTATTTTATGTTTTTAATAGAAGCATGTGCGGGATCTGCCTAGTTTCACAAAATTTATTCCTTAATGTAAATATAGATTTCATGAATTACAAGAAAAAAAATGTGTTTATATAACTAGAGTTTGGAATCGATTAAGACGGTTAATCGATTAATTATCCAAACCATAATTCTGGTCAAATTATCTAATGCGGCCCAGAGCTGTGGATTTTGGTCACGTGTTTTCCGAACTTGGACGAATTTGAATAATAAAATTAAAATAAGACTTTCCTATAACTAAATGTATGATCAAAAAACAATTTGTGCAATCTGCGGCAAACAAACAATTTTTAATGTTTTTAATATTAATCGATTATTAATCGATTAGGTCCTTGGTTAATCATTATTAACCGGTTAAGGTTTTTTTGGTCGGTTCCAACCTCTATATATAACTCAATTGCGTTTCATAAGAGCGTACACAACAGAAACAAATAGTTAAGAGGAAAATCGTCAACCATGTGTTGAGCATTTGGAATCTCTTCGTGATCCCATCCAAGTATCACAAAACACAATTTGTAAAAAAGAAATGTATTTCACTGCTACGCTCAAAGACCACACATCATTGAATTAATAAATGATTTTACGTTATTCTTTATTACAAAACTATCGAACGTGTTTTTGCGAGATATTACATTTAGAGATTGATTCTAGTTATTACTGTTTGAATGTATAGTTTATTGACTGAGCATATTCGTACAAAAGGTTAATTGCTGAGTCGGTCACTTATGTTAAATGTTTAAGTACAACATATAAAACATTGCCCAACTACGAGACCGTGTGTTTCAACTACGATTTGTAATTTATTTAAAAGAAAAAAATTAATGAAGTCAAAACTAGTAAATTTTTGTCCGTCTTAAATTAGATAAAAAAAGTTAAAATAATAGATTTTTTTTATACCAGCGTATAAAGGTAAATTTAACTTACGTTCTCTTCTTAGCACAGTGAACCTGATATTTTGTTAATAATCTTCATTACTACTCGTCTTTTTTCTGGACTATGAGCTTTAAGGCTCATAGCGGTACCCAAAGCGTGAATAAAGTCTAATTCATCAGTGGCATATTCATAAAATTTGTGGTTTTCATTGCCGCACTTAAAACGCCAATCTTTCCAGTCTTTTGCAGTACCGCAATCGTCACATAAAATATCTAAGGAAGTATCAATTTTTAACATTCCTTCACAGTATCTATGATACCAGTTACTAGCACTTCGATAATTTGACGCACATCCTGTTGAAGTCACAGGGCAAGGCATATAAAGCCATGCCTCATCTGAACCAAGTCCCATTGTAAGTAAAATTTTTTCGTAGCGAAATAAGTTTTTATTTAGCACAATCTTAGTGTATTTATTGAGATGGAGTTAGAAGTTGTTCGTTTTGTGGAAAAGATTTTCTAGAATTTCAAATGAAGGAAAAATAATTGATTATATTATCCCAAATTATCAATCTAATCTGAAAAAATATCATGATAAGACATACTTTCCTTTCATATGAAAGTATCAACAAAGAATACTTATTTAATACAGACAAGATTTCATGATAAGACATTTTTCCTGTCTTACGAAAGTATCAACAAAGAATACTTATTTAGTACAGCAGATAAGATTTCAAAAGTGCCATGATAAGACAATCTTCAATGGCAAGCCGAAGCGGACAAATCTCGCCATTTAAACGCGTAATTTAGTGCAGTGATGTGCATTTGTACTACCAATAACATAAAAATTTGGAAATTCAAATGGTTATAAAATTTGGTAATTCAAATGGGTTGTAAAATTCGGTAATCAAATGGTTTATAAAAATTTGGTAATTCAAATGGTTTTATAAGAAAATTATGTTTCCAATATTCCAAGAGCATATCACTGATTTAGTGTATCACAATTATTTACTACTTTAAGAAATCTGGACCATTACACAACACAAGAAATAAGTAAAAAGCAGCATAATAGTGTGAAAATAAGCGGTTATCGTGTCGAAATAGGCGCAGAATTGTCTGCTTGCCATAATATTCCTGTCCTACGAAAGTATCAACAAAGAATACTTATTTCGTACAGATGAGATTTTCAAAAGAATCATGATAAGACATTCTTCCTATCTTACAAAAGTATCAACAAAGAATACTTTTTAGTACGGATAAGACTTTCAAAAGTATCATGATAAAACATTCTACGAAAGTATCTACTTATTTAACAAAAAGATTTTCGATTAATAAACTATTAACTAAACCATAATAGGTTAATAAACGGAAAATGTCGGTCATTCGGCTATTCTTTGTTAACACTAATCAGTTATCGATCAAAGATAGAATATATAAGTGTCCTACTTTATGTAATTTTTTTAAACGTATATAAATTACCTTTCTTGATCATCTTGGCTCACCAGTCGTTTATTCTATGTAAGTTATGAATTAATTTTCTTGTTTACAAATTTATTAAAATTCTCATTTGCTTATTAAATTTACTGCATTGCAATAGACGACGAGATGTCGACAATTCAAACGCATGCACAGACTTTAGCTTACGAGCAACAAAGAGCATTTGAAATTTTATCCAAAGCGTTAGAAGCCCTTGAAGGATACCTTGCCAAGACAGATCGCATGATTAATCGCCCACAAATCTATGGGACTAGTAAATGGATCAAGAGCGACAGTGGAAGTTCTTGGGATCTTCAAGAATGTTTTTTGATTCATTTGAACATATGCGGCATAACTTTCTCTCACAGAAATACGAATTTTCCTACCAAGCAACTCGTAAGGCAACAATTTTATACATGGCTTGCCAATTTGTGGAAGGATATTCCCGCCGAACAATGCCCACAGGACCTAGCTCATTTTTTGATTGAAATACATGATGTGCTAGATGGTGATAAAAGCAAGATCACCAAAGAAAATATAGAATACGATGCTAGTAATAATGAAACACAACCTTCAGCCGAAATGTATAATGACTCCTTCTTTGATTATCAACAACAAATTCATAAAGTTGACTTACAAAAAGAATCTTTGGGTAATAAGACTTCTAGCGAAGTAGAACTGCAAGGAAAATTTAGTGGAGGAAAAGAAGAAGAGGAGAAAGGAAAGATTATTTTTGAAATAATTGAAAAAAAATACCGTAAGGAACATAAAGCCTATCCTTTATTTATTCCTTATGATAAAAGACAGCAACAATCATATTTAATTTGAAAATGATAAACTTCTTTGAAATGAGGATTCACCAAGAAAAAGTATAGCTTTGCAATTTATATCGAGAAAGGAGTCAGTATTCCTTCTCTAAACTATTTTATACAATAACATTTCGTCCATAATGAGGCTTTTTATCAAACATGCTATCACTTATATATGTTTATGGATCTGTCCGCATGGTAATAATGGCAATAGATGTGATACAATGTATATTATTTTTTCCGTGTATGAAATAAAAATGGACAAAATTTTTACTGTCACATTTTGAATGTATACATTTTTGTTCGTGCTTGTATCATTTTTTATTAATAATAATGGCTTCCACCAGTTATACATACTAATTTTAATAACTAGTGAATTTTTCGTGTTTCGCATCATCTTGAAAAAGAGTTTATTGAATGTCTCACGATCAGTATGCAAATATATTCACTCGAATTCAATATTTCGTAATAAAAAATCTAGCTTTGATTTTATAAAGAAAATGTTCATGTGTAAATTTTAGACAAAAAGAAACCCATTTAAACCCATTTAAACAAAAATTTGAAAAGTAATCATATAGTTACGATTAATTCTATAAATATTAAAATTGCGATATAAATTTCCCATCTTCACATTTCTTCACTTTTTTGGAGTAAAAGTAGTTGATACATTATTGTTTCTAAGGTTAATAAAATTAAATTCTAAAATTACTTGATGGATATTAGGAGATATTAGGTCTATTATCTGGTTTGTGCTGCCAACATTCTAATAAAATAAAGTAAAAAATGATTGTAAAAATGCTACAGAAAATTATTATTCTTTGTTTTATACTTTTATAAAGTACAAGAAATTTATCATTTGTGTTTTAACAGGTTCTTCTCTAACACCATTACAAATTTTAATGAAAGGATATTTGCATTTCGTTTTTTTTTCAAAGTCAAGAGGTGATTTTTGACTTGTTAACTTCCAGAATAATACTCCCAAGCTAGATATATCAGGTTTTTTGAATATGTGATATGGATGAATCTCAAAAAATTTAGGATCCATGTAAGGCATTACACAGCAGTATTATAACTAGTATAGAGATAAATGACCAATTTAATCACATTTAGTATACTTACAAGATCCCTATGTGTGATTCCCCTATCATCATATAACCATAACATCAGGAGTTGTATTTTTTATAGAGTCTATGTAAAATCTACCCAGTAAAAAGTTCTTGTACCAAATATAGGCCAATTATGAAATGAGCCCATTCGGTATAAAATTTGGCCATATTTATTTTAATTTTATCCCATTTATGGTCCAATTTTTAATACCAAAAGGGCTCATGTATAAATTCAATACAAACCTAATATGAATTCAGTACAGGACTTTTTACTGGGCTATAATTCTATATATATCCAATGTAAATTTATTATATAAATTTTTATAAATCTGTGATATAAATGAGTAATTTATTTATTTTTTATATAATTGTAGAAATATTGTAAGGATTTTATATAAGAAAATTTCTAAGTTTACATGGGGTGTTTGTACATGAGTCATATAAATATAATTTTTAATAGACTAATTTTTTGTTTTTTAATTTGAAATTGAATGCTACTGACATTATACTCTTTAACTTTTTATTCTTATTATATTACAGATAAATATATGTATTTTCACCTGCTCTGCAAGTTTACTTAAGGCATTAAAGAAGGTTTTGAATGCCATTTTTAATCTACTAATATGACCCGTATTTAAACACCCCATGTACAAATAGAAATTGCCTTTATATAAAATTAACATAGATACAGAATCATTTAAATATAAATTTACATATAAATTAAAGTTAAATAAATTTTATATAAATATTTTATATAAAATTCATTGCATGAATATAGAATTATAAATATAGATCTATATATAATTTATGATTAAATAAATGTTATGCAAATATTTTACATGTATATGATATATAAAAAATTTTATTATAATAATATATCTATATTTCTTTAACAGTTAAAGATTTACAAACATACTTATGTAATATGAATCAATTCTATCAAATTGTAAATTATACAAATTAACATCATTTTCATATATAGACAGCCTAATCAGGATCCTGAACAATAAATAAATATGTCAGATTTATATTTGCATAACGATCATAAGAAATATTATTCTCATGTAAGATTTTCATTTGCTTAACCAATAGTCTAATTTTAAATTAGTTAGATTTATAGATGCGTAACAAACCATAAATTTAACTAAACTCGGTTATGAGTTTGCGTAGCAAATACCCAATTTGGCAATTATCATATTTTATATATTTTAAATAATAAAAAAAAAGTTTGATGCATATTAATATCTTCTTTGTCTTTACATCTTATCGTTATCTATACATATACATCTTCATCTTTGCATATTTGTTATTTTTATTTTACATATTCACATTTTTTATGCATATTATGGGTGGTTGGAAATACTCAAAACAACGTTTACAAACTGAAAACATCCATTTGTTGCCAAAGTTATACGTGTTAAAAAGGTAATTTGTATATGTGAAGTTGCAATAAAACTTAATAGGAAATATGACAAAGACTATATTAATCGCTATGCAAATGGTCCAGGATGCAAAAAAAATGAACAAAAAAGTATTTTGTACTTTTTTAATTCTATAAAAGCTGATAAAGAAGATGATGATAATGTAGATTCAGATGATGATTGAAATAATTGGAAAAGTGAGGTAGAAGATATAATGGATGATGATGATATTATTACAGTAGATGAAAATGAGGTTGAAATTAATGGAAAAAGAAATGCTAATATAGAGATTATCAGCCCAGCAATTACTAATAAAACTGGTAGAAAAAGAAAATCATGTTTAGGATTGTGTTCAGATTTAATTGCAAAATATGTTAATAGGACACTGGCATATTATGGTGGAGCTTGTCGTGTTGAAGTAATTGCTAAAGAAATGTATCCTGAAAAATTTCCTAACAAATTTACAAGAAAAAAACTTAAACCATCTCAGAAACGTGCATTAAACTGGAAAATTTATGTAGAATCTCGATGGCGTATTGATAAAGATTGTAAGTATTATTGTTTATATTTTTGTAATCTTTATCGATCAATTAATGAATATCTTTTTCAAATATTGTTAATAGGTAATGCTGTACGTGCTAAGAAATGCACAGGATATTCTGATTCTGGAAAAACAATTTGTCATGAATGTTATACACTCAAATACGATCCTATTTCAGCACATCGCCTTACTATACCAAAATCAGCACCCAAAAATCTTAAATTTACACCAAAATTCTATTTCGAGAATAATTCTTTAAAAAAATATTTGCAAAATTAGGATCTTCGTGAGATTTAGTCTATTATCAAGGATAATTATGATACAAATATATGGATTACATTAGCAGATAAGCAAACAAGGATGCATTTAAAGAAAAATCTGTATTTACAGGACTTTGTGAAGTAATGGTTCAAGCTGCAGTTCGTAAAGATAATAATAAAGGCAAGCAAAATATTCAATATAATGAAGATTTTACAAACTTTCTTATTATATTAGAAAGCTTTAGTACTCAGGCTTTTAATCTTTTTCGTCAAAATTTGGAAGGACGTACAATTCAAAATATACGGTATTTTTTACTTGCTTATTTATTAGTTAATCTTTAATATTTTCCCTAAAATAATTAACAATTTTCATAAAATTAGTAAACTTCGGGCTAATAATGAAGACACACTCACAAATCCTAACCTCTCATTTGAAAACGTTGCTAAATTTAAAAGGCTAATTGATATATTAAATTATCAGGAGCCTATTGTTGCTATGTCTGATAACACTAAGTTGAAGCCTGCTCTTCGTTATAATCCTGTTTTAGGCTGTATCATTGGATTAACACTATCAGTTGAACAAACTAAAATTAATGCATATGAGGATATTCAACCGATTATTAATGATATTAAAATAAAAAAAGCAATTGCGAAAGATGTGCGTGCTTATATATTGCAGGTAATTGAGTGGTAATTATTGTTCATTTAAGCAATTACATAACGTAAATCATATGTGCCGATTTTTGGAATTAGTCTAAATTAAGATTTTTATAAAAATTTAATATTTTAGTAAGATTAACATTACACAAATCTAAATTAAATATGTGTTACATATTTACGTAACTCAGATTTAATAAAAAATAAAAAAAATTTTTTTAATCAATATTCAAAAATAACGGTAATAACCACTTCTTTTTCCCCATCACTGCCCATCACTTTTCCATCATTTTTCTATTCACTTTTATTAAATATGACAAAAAAGTTTATAAGCAAATATAGCAGTTATTTTTAAGTGGTAAGTAAAAGAAAAAACTTAATATTTTATATACATAGATAAGACATATTTTTTCATAATTTTTAGCTTTAATTTATTGTTTTTTCTTTGTAAAAAATACATGCAAATAAAAAATAATTATGATGTAAAATAGTTGTAAAATGAATAATAAGATATTCTTTTTTTTTCAAAATAACTAATTATATATTTGTTTTTTATCTTTTAAAATTATTTTATTAGATTTATTCTACTAAAATCCTTAAATGGCAAATAAAATCTTTTAAATAAAGTAAAAGAATTTGGGATTCTCTTATGAAAGCATTTTTTGGTAAGAAATAAAATTTTCAGATCGGACTTTATGCAGGTGACAAAATCGTGCATTATTATTCCTGGAGATATGCTAACGTCATCATTTTACATTCATTTGAAAGCTGAGAATTTGCTCTATCGTAAGAATCAAAGATCAGGAAAATTGGATCACTGGATGAGGCGTAATTAACGATCAAAGTCAAATCAAATTTAAAAATTAAAAATAAATATATTAGACGTAATTATTCACAATCCAGTGATTCAATTCATTCGATTTTAGGCTTATTAGATAGACCTCAATTTTCTCTTTCAAATGAATATAATTTCATTCGTGTAGCTTGCATCTACAGGTATTTAATAAATTTTTTTATATCAGATTTTATCAAACTTATAAAATTTTATATTAATAATATAATTGATGATTCCTAAACATCTACATATATTAAACGAATTATTTTAAATTTATTTTAAAGATAAAAGTTGGCATCACCTTAGGGAGCAAAGATCATTCAAATTGAATCACTACATGTGAAGTAATTAATGATCAAATTTAGATAAAATTCAATAAATATACTGAACGTGATTACTGAACAACTAGTGATTCAATTCACTTGATTTTAGATTCATTAGATAGATCTCGATTTTCTCTTTCAAATGAATGTAAATTTATTTGTATAGCTTATTTCTACGAAGAATTATCAATGATTTTGTCATGAGAGTTATATTTGATCTTTTAAATTTTAATGATATCTTATATTAAAAAAAAATTAAAAATTATATAATTAATTAGTTTTTTTTGCATTATCTAGTATAAATTTATTATTCTTATATAAATGATAATTTATATTTGCTTTAATAAAATTATTTTTGTGTAAAAAAATTAGATTCCAAGGATCAGCCCATATGCAAATACTTACTATTCAATTTATTAGATACCATTGCCGAATTTCTCTCCAGTAGTTATTGCATTAATTGCCAATAACGGAACTGATAATATGTTGACGATAACCAGCTTTTATCAAGAATTGTTAACTCAAATAGTGCCACAACTTAACCTTCCAATTTTATCAATTGGATCAGATGGTGCTATTGTCAAATTTAAAGCTCAAGTTACAATTCAGTCGTATTCAACAGATGAACGGTTAACTTTTAAAAATAATAAACTTGGGGTTGATTTCAGCTGCCCAATTTTTTCAAAAGTAGAACCTGTTATTTGCGTACAAGACCCTAAGCACGCAAAAAAAACTGGCCGTAATGCAATTATGTCTGGTGTCCATCTTCTTACCCTTGGAAGTTCAACTGCATGATTTGAACAATTATTAAAATTGTCAAATCTTTCTAATTCTGTAATGTATTGTCATGATGTAATAAAGCTTGACTGTTAAGACGATGGTGTGGCGTATCGTGTATTTTGTTCAGGAAATTTACAAAATTGTCATGAAGCTCACGATACTGAAGAAGATATGCAAGGACTTTTTGTATATCTTTTCATAATGGGTTAGATAAAAAATAATTTTGTTATAATTATTTAATGGTACTTTTTTTTCATTATTAAATTATAATTTGAAAATTAGGCGAACTTATTGATAGCTACTTAACCCGTGAAATAACTCCACTAAAAAGAATTATCGCTCTTTTCAAATTAGTGCGCCCATCCTGATCGTGTAACCATATGAAAATCTAATTAGATTTCCCAATTTTCGCGATTTTTAAACGAACCCTTCTAATAAATTTTTTTGCCATCTCTGATTTCTAATACTTTTTTAGTGATTTCACAAAGCTTCTACAGTAAAATACGCGTCTACTAAGTTTCAAGTATATTACTTACCAAATATTTACTGATTTTCAAACTATAAAGTTATTTGTTTCTTGAAGATTTTCTTCTAAATATTTTTTTATCGGTTATTATGGCTAAAACTTTAGCTGAGGATCTCAAATGGCGCATTATACTTCTACATAATGATGGATATTCAAAAAGACAAATAGCTAATCTACTTTATATTGGAGAAACGTTAGTTAAGAAAGTTATTCATATATATGCAAAGTGGGGTTGTGTAGTAAATCCGTGGAAACTTACACCAGGAAGAAAAAAAGTTTTTAGTAGAAGTGATATGAATGTAAGTATAATTTGAAATTGTAAATTAGACCAAATACTTGTTTGATAGTCAAACTTATATTATAATTTGTGAATATTAGGTGTTGCGTGATATTGTTCATGAACATGTTGATTATTATCTTGATGAATATATTGAAGAAATGCAGGCACGAACTGGAAAACGTGTTTCTGTTTCAACTCTATGGAGATCATTGGCTTATTGTGGTATTACACGTAAAAAGGTATAGTATTATATGTAAAAAGATAAATTTTAGTTTTTTTTAAAAAAAAATTAGCAAGAAAATAATAATTATTCAATTCATTATTATATAGTTACATAAAGCTGCTTCAGAAAGAAATGAATTGCTAAGAGGTGCATTTATTGCATCTATAGGTCGCTATAGAATCGATCAATTGGTATTTATGGATGAATCATCGAAAGATGAACGTACTTCAACACGTTTTTATGGCTATTCTGAAATCAATTCAAAAGCAATAAAAAAGGTGGTTTTCATTCGAGGCAAAAGGTATACTTTTTTACCTGCATTAACAAAAAAAGGTATAATTGCTGTAGATATTATGGAGGGCAGTTGTACAAAGCAAAGGTTTAAGGCTGTCTCTTATACACATCTAGATGTGTATAAGAGACAGGGCTTATACTTTATGTCACTAATCCCGAACCTGTGTAGCTGATAAACTGACACATGCGCAGCATAGATGTGCGATAATCAAACATATAATCATTTCTACAAAATACAAATATTAATTGTAATGTATAATTTATTTATTATATTTTTATCTTACACTATAACAGAATGGATTGTTTTTTTTTAATATCTCAATTGTACTATTTGTTTTTAAATTAAACAAATAAATTTTTAAAAATTATTTTAAATTTATACATTTAATACCATTCTCTCTAAAACTAAAATGCAAATTATTATCTTAATAATTAGAATAATTTATCTGTTAAAATCTGGATGATTATCTGTTAATATTCAGATAATTATCTGCTAACGTACAGATAAATTATCTGTTGATGCACAGATAATAAAAAATGGGAAAATTTGGAAAAAATATCTGTAAAAATTTTTGGAAAGTTTCACAGATAATATATGCAAAATATCAC